ATGTCTACAAACCCATCTGTTTTTCAGTTTATCTTGAAATTTTACCACCAAGGTAACCAAATAATGAAATATTATCAAAGTGAGATAAGTCAAACAAAAGAAAAAAAAATTGTAACATTTCGTTTTTGCAATCTACTAGAAAAATGGATAAATTTGGGAAAAAGTAAAATCGAATGTGTATACGCTCAAATTATTTTACCATTTTGCAATCACCAATAAGGCTTACTGAGTAACAAAATAAAGTAACATAAAATCTAATATTTTACGCTTGATGAATGTGCAATTAATTAAGTGCCTACTTGATTTTAAAATCCAATTAATTTCACAAAATTAGCTATAAATGATTATGCGTTGATCAAATTTAATCTACAAACTAGTCGTATATACAAGGACTTGTCACACATTATAATTAACTATAAAAGATATTCACTTTATTTTACAAGTATGAATAGGTACTTCAAATAAAAGTAACCTTTATATTTTTAAAGTTTAAACATTTACTTTAGAACCGAGTAATTTACAGTGTACATATTTATTTACTTATTTATTTATTTATTTATTTATTTGTTTTAAACGGACAAAGCCCTTTACATATTTATACAAGTGTACAAAAAGTATGCGTTTGTCTGGTAACAATCAATATTGTTTGAGCTAAACAATTTAAGGTAATTAAACTATTATTTTTGTTAAAAATGTTGTATTACCTATGTACACAAAAATGGGCAAGTTTTAGAACGAAATATTAATGAGTATTTTCAACCAAATACACAAGCGGAGATATCCAAAAATATTCATTGTAAAAATTACCAGGAAGGCTTTATCTAGCATCAGTCTATAAATATATATAAACATATAGACTATATATGAGTTTGTTACACTACAATTAAAAAACAGCAATGTGGGTAGGTACTATTTTTAACAAGTTAGTAATAGACGATGCAGTGTGGATATGGGACGAAGAAAATGAAGAAATGGTAAAAAAACAAGGAAAAAGGACATTTTGTTAGAAATAAGGCGTAAAGGGGTAGGTGGGGGATAATTTAGGGAAAATGAACAGGAATAACAATGTAAAGTGTAACTTAACAGTAAGATAGATTATTTGTTGGTAGATTGTGAAGTTGTATAATTGTAAAATAACCAATTTGGTATAATAATGATTCGGTTTAATTAAGTTTATATATATATATATATAGATTCTGTGTTGGCTGATTTTTTGCTGCTGGTTAGTTCCTTGCCGTGATAACATGTTAAAGAATAACTTCATACAAAAAGAAAGATAAAATGTTACACTAATTCAAGAAGTGAATACTTATCATGAGTATGTATTTTTAAACCTGTTAATAAAGACAATAGCATCGAACAATGGAAAGCAATAAACCCAAGGGTATATAAATCATCTTAAACAGTACTATTACGTAGCACTGGTTCACCAATGGGCAATGTTTAGCTTGTGTTAAAACAATATGAGTTGTTAAACTGCTCATTCTTTCTTACTAGATTTCTTTAAACACAGCATGACTTGTTCCTTTCTCAATTTTCTGTAGTTCAATTTAAATTCAGTTTTGTTTGGAAATAATATTTTATGAGTTTTCGGTAATTTGTTCTTCAATTACAAATGATGCTAAAAGCAAAGCTAATTTGCTCGAAGGTTGGGTTGTAAACGCTTGTGTGAGATTCTATTGGCACTGGTGCATTCACAACTGCATGATTTATACATCCTTTTTATTTCGACTATGAAGCGTTGGAAAAAATAAAAGACCTAACTGTTTCAAGCATCTGTTTCGTGCAAATTTTCACACAGTTGCATTTCCTTTTCTCTGCAACCGTATGCATATTTCTTTGATGTCATTATACATATTTTTTCATTATACACATTGATGTCGCTCATTTTTTTCGACCAATTTATTTCTTTGATTTTATACGAAGTTTTGTTTGCTTTTGACTGTGACGAGACACTCTATCAAATATTACCTTTTTTGACCAATTTTGTGCTCCATCTAAATCGAATGATAAATATACACGTAAAAGCATTTTTCGGTCCGGTTGGAATTGCACGGTTACAGCAGGAAAAGACAACACGAACGAAGTGATAATTCTTCACGCAAGGTACGAAACAAGCTAAATCACTTCTGACCTAACTAATAAGCTTAATTAATTAGTAAATATATAAATTTAAACGTTGTCGATAGCACCAAATGTATAATATCTTTAGAAATTAGAAAACTGTCGGGAAATTTTTAAATATGGGTATTTTGACCACTAAATTAGAAGAAAAAGAATCAAGTGATCTAAAATACAAAATTATTTAACAATAAGGCAAAAAGTGTCATTTTAATATTTTAAGGATTTAGAATGCCCTACAATAAATAAGTTTTTAATCGAGCTAATTTTATGTTATAAGACTTAACCGCTCTTAAATGCAAATTAAAAAATGTAGTTTTAAGAATTAATACACAATTAATTAGTGGTATTTTTTAATGTTCTATTGATTGACGAAGGCTGCAGGCACATTCTGCAATATGTTTTACCTACTAACGTAGATTGCACAGACCTTAGCGACAAACTTGACTGCTTTAAACAAACATTATCGTTTTCAATTAACAATTAATTACATACTTTTTTTAATTACATTCCTACGATTAGTAGGCCAAAGTCATTTGCGTTTTTAACGGAGTAACTTATTTTTAATTACCAAATTCTTATTATAGGTCCTATACATGTGCATATGCATTTTTCGATAAATTTTTGGATTTGATAACAAATTAGCCACTAGCAACAAAAGTATCGTATTATAAAAATGAGAAACACAACTTTGTGGTGCCAGATTGATTTCAGCAAGTACACGTTTGTACATATGTTTAGAAAGTTTTGTTTTGAATGGTGTTCATCATTTATTTGAGGAAAATGCTATCTTTTTGGATAGATTATGGGTTTTTACGCATGAAAATTAACTAATAAGAACAATTTATCACTGATTTAAAATGAAGTGTATAATCAACCGAAGTCGTTCCACAAACCATATGAATATGCACTTTTACTTCAGCTCTATTGATTTAGACACACCTAGTATAAAAACGCAATCACGTCTATTTAGATATAAATGAAATGATACATAGAATTAGTTGCTGTATGTGTTTATACAAAGGCTTCGCCGAAAGTAACAATACAATACAGCTCACTTCTTATGAGTTAATAAGTCATATCTCACACTGCACATATCTATTGTTTTCTCAAAAATTGCTTTTGGGCTAAGGCGTCGACTTGCAATTGAATTTTTAAAATCGTAAGGTTGCAGGCGTTAATCTTATTGAATCCACAGGTGGTTAAAGAATGTTTCTGTGGCGACTAAAGAAACTGAAGACATTACATTATCCTCAAATATTCTAAAACAGCGGTTGGGGAACTTTTTTAATCATTACCCCAAAATATTTTTGTGTAAGTTGATATTACCCCATGGCGAAGAGCAAAAAAACAAAATCGCCTCTTTTTAGCATCTTTCATATTATAGCCCCCATGATAATTTTCAAAAGAAAACAATAACTAAACATTTAATTTAGACATCATTTATTCAATTTATCAATGTAATACCTAGTAATAAATAACGGTAATAATAGTAATATGTATATGTAATATACAGTTGAGGAAAAAAAAATCCGTCCCCACAGAAAATATAAGTAAATGATAATTTCTTGTTATTTTGTAATTCATTTGATATTTTTCTTGTACTATTAGACGAAAAAACTAGTTTAAATTTTATATATCTATAGCCCCCATAAAAAATATTTTTTATTTTGGAGAAATGATGTTGTTTGATGTTGAACACTTAGTGGTGGCGGGTGAGATGGCGTGGCCTGCATATGTCGCTAAATTGTTTAAGTTGAAAAAAATACTAACAGGTTTATAAAATAGCAAATTATAAATATATACTTTTTACTCACAAAAGTTTCATTTTTACCCCATTTGGGGTAATTTACCCCGGTTTCCCGACCGCTGTTCTAAAAGGTTAGAGCACATTTTTTTTATCTTTTATGTGCAAGTTGATATTCAGCTTCTTGTGGATCTCGCCGCAGCTACATTGATCTTTCTTAGCTTTAGTTTTCTCAAATCGATTAATCTCTTTTAGATTTATACAAAAGAAACGCCTATTCTAATTTCCGTAGAATTTAATTAGAATCCTCGTATTATTCAGCGAAACTGCGGGTCAATTTGAAAGTAATTGCAAAGTGCATATGTTATAAACAGATAGTTGTTTAAGTGCATGGTCGTTTTCTATTATATCAAATCAGTTTATCCATCAGTTACGTTATTATTAATTTTTTTATTGGTAGACATCTGCGGAACTCGTAACGCGTAGATCGCTAATTATCTGCACAAGGTTTAGTTACTTGAGCGTACATTATTATCAATGTATGTATTTAATTGCATGATCGTATATTTAATCAATAAATTTATCAGACAACTTGACTAGTAGGGAAAATATTATGTTGTCTCATTATTATCGACAGAATGGCTACTTATATGCATGGTACATATAATACACATTGCTAATAACAATGGATGAAATTTACAATGTATTACATTTCACTTCAGCTAGGTATTTGACAAAATTTCATATTAATTTATTGAAAGCAAAGGAATGTAATATTCAGCTTCAATCATTTCGAGTTTAGATACATTCTTCAATAGATTTGAGATTATTACTCTATAAATTGCTGTGTGCTTTGCGTTTTTAAAACAATGATAACATTTTAGTAATTTAAACTTTTTAGTAAATAATTGCTAAAAACTTAACACTAAAGCTAGACTGATAAAATAAGCAAACAATTTGGGAAAAAAAACTGCTTATGTATATCGCATTTCATTGTTTCAAAGTAGATAATGACCCTTAAAATAATCAAAATTAAACACGTGGAGCACATATTATTTACTTTATGAAAATGATTATCATTCATTATTGAAAAAAAGTTGCATTCAATGCTGTTATATGTATATTTACTTACCCAAATATCAACATGGAAAGTGGATTCGCTTTGTCCCTTGGATTTGGATTGTAATTTTCCTTCGTTATGTCCATATTTAAAATGTATCAGTCGTTGTTCCAAGAAAACCAACAATCTATAAATAGAAAAAGTATTTTAGCCTCAGTAACAATATGTACGAATTCCATTGAACTACACGATTTAAGCAAAGGTTGGCTTTTATTTTTGTCTGACAATGATACCTTTACAGGTACAGTTCCGGACCCTTCCGCCAGCGTAACATGTTTCGGGATTTAAAGGGTGGTTCTGAGTATCTATTAAAGTCTGTACTATTTTAATTTGTTATGGTTATAACTTTCTTGTGATGAAAGAACAACCTTCAATGTTTATGTCTTTAAATTCATAGTTATTCAATTAGGCAGTTTTACCTGCCAAACAATTCAAACCAGCAAAGGTCTTCTTAAGCTACTTTCGGTTGACCACATTGAACAGGTGACCCCATCGCACAGGAAAAAGCTTTTCAATACGTAAAAAGCATGACCTACAAATGTATTAACTGTTTGATTGCTTAGGATCATAAGCTTACGATAGGAAAAGCTTCTCGACTTTCCTTTGGTGCTCAACTAGAGAGTATTTTCAAAAACTGCTTGTTTTCGATGCCCAATTGAGTTACACCCCTTAAATTACTATATTTAGGATTAGACAAAGAATAGAAAATACTTATATACTATAAATCAAGTCCGGTCGAACATTGCACCGAAGTTTCTAGCAGAACTTTACATCATATATGTTTATGATAAATTTTATGATGTTTAGATTTTATTATAATAGTTTAGGTATCTATAAACTAAAGAATATTTTGTACACAATTTATTAAATTTATTGGTAAATCGTGGATGTCACTCAGGCGTATTGTCGCAAAAAAGCAATAAGAGACATTTATTAACTGTAAAATTTTTTAAATAATTATCTGATTGGTTTACGACTAGATTTTACTAATTCATGAACTCATTTCTATTCGTTAATTCCACATACTTCCTTATAAAAAAGTACAAATATAATGTAAAATTTACTGCACATTGGGTATTTATAGTATCAGTTCAATAAATCTTAAAATAGTTTTTGAGATCTAAAATCAGAATATAGCGTCTGCGGTTAAATCCCTAAGATTTCTGAGTATAATTTATGGTAGGAGTCCACAACATAACCGAGCTATAACTGAGGAAGACTTTTTCTTTGTTTCTTTTCTATTTTTAGTTTTATAGGTAGGTCCTTAATTATTACTGTATGCACAAGATTTCTGTAGCTTCTTTCTGATTACATTTTAGAATCACTTACATATTATCGCTGTTAATTAAGGTCATACAATAATTACGGGTAATAATACACTGTGTAAGTAGATGTATAGACTAAATTGAGAATCGTGTATTCAACAGTTTATCATGTACGCTACTTATAGTTATTAAAAAAGGAGAACACGGAAGTCCATGTAAAGCATACTTTTATTAGTGAAGGCATTAGGCGCATTTATCATTCCCTGTCATCGACTTCAATTACACTTGTAGACAAGTGCCTAACTGTTTGATTATTACTTAGATACTCTGAAGACCTCAAATCTGCGGATCTTTTGAAATAAATTTATATGTTTTACAGTTAGCTATTACAGACGTTGTTTGCACGTTTATAAATGTGCAAAATGATATAGAAGTACAACTGCAGTGCATACACCTACCGTTATACTATACGAAAGGAATGTATATCATTTTGCTGAAAATGATATGCTATTGATACCTTTTAGTTACACTTTAATCGAACTAATTGGCTAAGGTGATATGATATCAATATACATATTCAGCAAAGCCAAGCCATAGCTACAAAATATTAAATTGGGTTTCACGATTTCATATCCAAAAAATGGTAGATAAAAATTATTTTTAAATCGTTTAGTAGGTACTACAATAATACTTTACTGAACACTTTCTATTTATCGCATTTCATTTTATTTAACGATAAGTATAAGATACAAGACAAAAAATCACTCAATTTTATCCTGATATTTTGATATGCTGGTCAAGTCATACAAAAGTATTAAGTCTTGTTTGTGTTATGGCAATTGATAGTCTTCCATTTTTTGATACATACAGTTTAATTCATGAACAATGTTATACAAAATAATTAATGCTTTAGTAATCATTCCCTACCTCTATATAGTATTAGCACATGCAGTAAATTTGGATTTATTCATTTTTTGCACACAGTAATATAATTTTAATTTGTAACACTCTTTATGAATGCCAGTCGCACTTGTTTAAGGACAATTTGCAAGGTTGTTCGTGTAAAGTTCATATGTCTAGAAAAATGCCTTGACTTCATTCATTGGAATTATTTTACTGTCATACATAGGTACTTTATAACAAATTTGCTCATAACTGCTTGATGGTCCATTCTTACTGTGATATGTGTTATTACAGTTACAGGTAACTTAATTAACGATTTTAATTTTATGCACGTTTAGTGCAAAAATAAACGATCCATTCTCTGCGGAAATTTATGTAAATGCGTGGTTTAATTGACCGTTTAATTGAGAATGACTTATAAAACAGTTACAGCAATTTTTTACAAGTCTGTTATGAAATAGTGGAGAAAATATAGAACTAATCTATTAACTGTTTAACCTAATAATAACATGCAAAACTATCACTAGGTTAAGTAACCGGCTAATTGAATAATTTATTAATCACATAATTATGACTCAAAGAGCTGCCTTATCAGTGGCCAATTAACAGAAAGGTCAATTTAATAATTAACTGGTATTTCTACAGTTTTGATTTCGCGCTCAAACAACCTACGCGCTTGTTAACTCGTAGCCTTGCTCCTAACTTCATGCAGTCGAATTTTCGTTGGGTATGCGCGCGCAACTTCCGTTGCATATTAAAATTTTACTGTTAACGCGTTAAAAATTTTGATTTACTTTTCTTATAATTTACACCTTAATGAAGTCAGAACAGTTTAATAAACACTGAAAAATAATTTGTAACTTTTTGGTTCCTTACAACTTTTCAATGAAGGGTTTTTTACCTATTTATGAAATAACGAAGAAAAAAGTAATAGAATCATAGCCAAAATTAGGGTAAATGTTCTGATTCCAAAACTGAAATTTCAAAAAGTGAAAGAAGAGGGTAAATGCCTTTTAATATTTAATCTATTGAGAGCCTGCGTGTCGTTAAATGGTGATTACGTAATCGTAAAACTTAAAAGGTCTTCAATTAACAATAAATTGACGAATATGATCTGTTAACAACTGGGTCGGGCAGAGTGCCGTCCTCCTTGGTTGTTTACTACACGCACAATTGGTCCGCTGGACGAGAGTCAATTTGTGAAACGTGGACTTCTGTATTACGAGATGCGCCTTTTTATTAGTGTTAACAACAACAATGACACACAACAACAAACCGTGGACATCATTTGATTGCTGAATTGTGCCCACATACAACAACTACAAATCTACATAATGGAATTCATATCCAAACAAAAGCAAACAACAGAACTGGCTTCTCTATTGTGTAATTAATGTTGTGGATGGATGCATCATGAGAAAATTATGACGTTTGAAATTTTCCGTATTTAAATTGGGGACTTCCTAGTTCAACGCTTTCTAATATAGCCAGAAATTACAGTAAAGACAGAATACCAAATGGATATGGCTCGGGATGATTTTAGAATAGGAAAACTTGATCTATTTATACAGTAGAACCTTGATAACTTAAACCTGGATAACGTAATAACTTCTATAAATTCATAAAATTTTGTGTTCCCTTCCCCTCGAAGTCCAAAAGCCAGTAAGCAGTGAAAAGTGGTTTGAATCAGCAGAAAATCTTCTACGTAAAAAACGATGAATTGCTGACTTTCCTCATTTAGAAAAATGCTTGTTGTTTACACGGTTTAGACAGTGTAGAAGTATGTAAAAACATTAGTGTTAGTAGACCTATACTAAAGGAAAAAGCTGAAGAGCTGAAAGTCACTGGAAATCCATAATTTTAAAGCTTAAATTTAAATCGTTAGTAAGTAAAAACCTCAATAACTCAAATTATTTTACGTTTGCCTTGATCTTTATCTTATCGAGGTTCTACTGTATTTTCTTTTCGATAGGATTTTCATTGTTGTAAGGAAAAGTTGAAATGGCTTATGAGAAAGAGAAAAGCATTTAGAACTAGGATCCGCAACCACTGATGGTGCCAAAAATTAATTCATGATCAGTTTTATGCTGACAATGACCGAAATTATAGCCTAAAATTAGATAGATACGAACCACGTAAGAACTAATGCTCGTTACTCTGCTTCAAGTGAATAAAACTCAGCTTTATTCAATGAATAATAATAAAAGCCTGACAACAACTTGTAATTTACTCTAAATTACCTTCTTACGATGACGTTAGTTTGGTAGTTGTACTTTAGGTTTATGTTCATGTAAAGTTTAGAAACAAATCACATTTTTGTCACAAGCCACCACACTTTGTATGCTTCCATTCCCGTTAATGAATAAATTTATCAACTGAAGATCAGCATTTCTACCATTGTTTTCGCCTGACGAGCGTCGAATGTTAAATACGAAAAATGTGTTTCACAGAGAAAAGTCCACGACCATATTCACCGTAGATTATTTAATACACTAATCGGCACAGTTACGTACACACATTTTCATGTATGTATTACAGCTCTAATTCGATGCAACTAAGCGCTGGATAGTTGCTTACTTACTTACAATTAGTGTGTACTGACTACGTTGATTAGGCAATTAAAAGTTTTGCATGGCATTCTGTTGCAATAAATAATAATAATAATAATGATTTTGTTACTGTAATTATAAAAATACTTATTCATACAGCCTAATAACATTTACTCCTTTATATTCTAATCAGCAACTCCACAGGTGCTATGGTTAACGTAGAGTACTGAGTAGCCCCTACATTTGATATTTTCGGTATAATTTGGAGGAGACACGTCTGATCGTGAATTGGAACTCAATTTTATACAAATAACACACGATTAGTATTAAATAATTTGCCTGATTAAAGTGTATTAGATTAATTTATATAACTCGTAGATATCCCAAGATAAAAATGTTCAGTCTCTTAGAGTCTCTGAAAGCGAGAGTCGAGTCTTTGTCTCTCATCGAGTCTCTCTGGTGTCGCTGAGAGAGACTGTCAAAAAAACTGTTTAGCGTCTCTGAACGAGAGATTCCAGTCGCTCACATAGAGATCCTCATTTCGTATCCAGTATCTGAACGAGAGACTCGAATCTCTGAACGAAAGACTCGAATCTCTCAATAAATGGTGTCTCGATAGACATGGTTAAAATTTTCTAAGTTCAACATATTTCAGAGATCCCAGTCTTTCTATGAGAGACTCGAGTCTCTCAATTTTTCAGTTTTATTCTCTCTCCAGTCTCTCAGAGTCTTTCAGTCTTTCAGCGACTCTAAGAGCGTCTCTCACAGTCTTTCACAGTCTCTCAGTTATTGCCTAGATATTTTTATGGATCTCTCACAGTCTCTCTATGAGAGACTCGAATCTCTGAATTAACAATTTTATCGTTCTCATACAGAGACTAGGCAGTAACTGAGAGACTGTGAGAGACGCTCTCAGAGAGGCTGAAAGACTGAAAGACTGGAGAGAGATTGAAAGTTTTTGTCTAGGGATGTCAATAACAAAAATACATATTTTTTTGTAGGATTAAATATAGCAATTAAAGGGTTGAAAACTTTATATGTATAGTGCAAGTGCATCATTAACATCTTTTAGAATTTCAAACATCATGACAATAAACTGAGAGCTCCTAGTAGTAGAGTCCTGAATTACTCATTTAATTAACAGTTAATAAGGAGTCATAATATCTATCTATAGTAGAAAAAAGTATAATTACTTATTTACAGTTACATTGCATCGTTGATAAACATTTTTTTTGCACTTTCTTGCACACAATGTGTGCAAATACGAATTGTAACAGCCGTGAAAATTTACTGCCATGAGTAATGACTATTAAGTAGCAGGTACTTGTTATACGCAATATCTACTTGAAGTTCATTGTTAATTTAATAGGTACATATTTTTTTGAACACAATGTTACAATAAAGGTTAAATATTACACAATTAAAATACTCTTTAGTTTTTTTTAAATTCCAAATTGCAAAGGGTGCTCTATAATTAAAAGAAATGCATACTTTCTTGGTTACGAATATTTTATCCATATACGATTAAGATCAACGATCTAAATTTACATAATGGAAACTCATAGTTCACTTTATAAGTAAAAGTAAATGTTAATTTCCACAAAATATTAAAATACATAATTTCATAGCCTTATTAAACTTCGTCAGAAATCATTAGTATACTTCTGATGAAGCCCTGTCGTTAATAAGGCAAATCAATTGTCAAATGCTTTAGTACATTCTTGTGGAAATTAACATTTGCCTTTTATTTATAAAATGTCATATTATTATAATCAATTGAACCTGTTGATGTTAATAATAATAATAATAGTGCACCATTGTTATAAAATTTTGTACTATTGTTTTCTTGTATGTTTATCAAATGTATTTTTAAAACAAACGTCATTAATATTCAAACAGATGTTTATATAGTTATGGATACATATTTGCTTAAAAATTTGCTTCTGGTATTTGCTAAACACCGACTTTATCTTTACATCAACAATTCCTTGTTGCAAAAACACATTAATAAATTATGCAACACTTTTGATATCTTCTACTAATTTATTTAATAAAAGCATGAGGTGGATTTAAATCGTTTTTAAAAAACTAGGAAACTTTTAAAACATTTGCATTACCTTTTAAATTACATATCTTGTGCAAAGTTGTAAATTATTAATTATCTCATTTGCGTTTTTCAATGACCCCAAGTTGAAGTTCGCCGATTTAGTAGTAATAACGTAGAATGCGAATTTGACTTTTGTATTCTTATAATAAAATTGTTTTACATAAATTATCTGTATGTGTGTGTGTGTTGTTTACTACTTTTAAATTAACATAAGAATTTGCATTTGTAGATTTAATAAAATTTGCAAATCATTGTAAGTATTCAAAAGTAATTATATCTCAGCTTTTACACTATCGTATTTGACGAAACAAGTGTAAGCCACCCTTTAAAAACAGATATATTTTGTGTCAAATAGAAAGTTATCTTTTTGTAAATACACCACGCAAAATTTGGTCCTTAGGCTGTTTTCTGAGATATGGATGATGATAAACATCTGAAAACTATAATAATAGAACAAAAAACAAACTCACCTTGACTGCTTTTTCAACTAGGCAGGTAGCGTTTTTTCAACTAGTTGATTTTTAAAAAGCACTAATTTGTGCGATTACTTGCAAATAAATGAACCCACTATTATTATACTGCACTCTTTCACTCATATATTGTGTAGTTAGTTATCACTAAATCTTACATAAGACTTTTCTTTGTCGACAGTTAATGCTAAATACAACCGCATTAATTTTGTTAGTTTCGCGCATTTATCAATTTAACATTCGATCGTTTAATGACACGATCGTGATGCGATGAAGGATTTCACAACAAAACTACGAACGACAATCGTCCACTACTTTCCACAGCCTGCTGCGGAATGAAACCGGCAGTGAAACTGAATGTTTTTAATGGTTCGAATGTTGAATCCTTGGTGCAATCTCCGTGGTAGAGCTATTTCTGATTTACTGTGCAAATGAGACAAACTCAATATATTTTGTTGCCTTGAGACGGAGTAAGAGAGAGATAAAGAGTCATTAACTATGACGGTAAAATGTTGTTACGTTGTATGTTTGTTATACTTTTACACAGATGAATCGGCAATTTTTTAAAATGGGACTTATCAGTCGAGTCATGAACAAAATGCTTGATGTCTGAAGGACTGATATTTCTGTTTGAATATGCAGATAAGTCGTTTCCCATGTTTACAATGAGATTTAGTTGATTTTAATATTATACTTATTATGTTAAATGAAACTACATATACATACATGTCTATCTACTTGATAGGTAGGTAGGTGATAGCTAGACATGCGTATGCAAATTTATGTAGTTTCAGGATTTCCGAATATCCCACCAATTTATTTTCAGTTCTTGTTATCATTTAACATGTTCAATTTTAAATAGGCATTTAAAAGTCAATTTGATTTAAAGTTTTACTTTCAATGAGTACCGATCCATCGTGAGAGCTATTTACATAGAATAAGTAGCAATTTTTTTAAATTTAATGTTTTTAAATGAAAAATTGCGGAAGACTTAGAAAACGAATAGAAAAGTCTAATTAAAAGTCATCCATTTGTGGAAAATATATTTTGTTTTCATTTATTGTTTATTAAATCTACGGTAAATGTCTAGATGATGGTTGGGTGGGATCGAAAGAGGAAGTCTCCCCCACCACTGTACCATAAAAAGTTCGTGACGATCTCACCCCCATAAAAAGTTATGGGAGTTGAAAGTTGATTATTTTGACAATTTACATACACTATTATTCAAATAAAATTCAATAGAAAAAATATTTTCAAGCGGGTGGAGGTGGGGGATCGAAAGAGGGTGGTCACTTGAACAAAACCCGATAACCTAACCTAACCTTCCCTATTGATAAAGATATTTAAATAATGTTTTATATAACTTTCTCAATAATTTCCACAAATTTAATTTAAAACTTAATACGAATCCCACTGGAATATGGATTTCCAGATTCTAACCTTGCCTTATTGGCGAAATCCCCATAACGGGTCAAGATACCGTTAAAAGCGTTTCGTCGCCTATCTCAAAGAACATGCTCAGCAATTTCGCGTTGTCGTTACACGATCTCCAACGTTATTGCTATCGTTGGTTGCTTCCGAGTCAGTTCAGCAACAGCGTTGGAGATCCTGCATCGACACCTAAAGTTCGTGAAGATATCTGTGACGGGCGACGAAACGTCAAACACTTTTAACGTTACTATGATCTATCAAGGGAATTTCATCAAAAACACACGATTAGAACCTGAAAATCAAGTTTGTTCAGGTGACAGCCGTGAAAGCTTAAATCAACTTCTGCCTAGTCCACCACTTTATAGTTTCTTAAGTAGTTACAAATTTACTTATTTTATTCAGATTCAATGCCATATTATTCACCATTTGGATATATTCATGTCCCCATTTCTTAATCAAAGTTTTATGAATATGAATCAGTTAATTACTAACTAGATATCAACATTATGTTAAGCAGTTATCCACTGTTAGCACTTTGAAAACTTTTGACGCAGTCAAACCCTAGAAAAGTACATTATCCCATCACTGTTACCCTTGTGTTCAAATTAATCAAAACTTAAGGAACGTGTTTAACTTGAATGGGTACAACTAGTAGGCACTTACTGAATAACTTACGCCATTAATGTTATTAATTCTACGGTATGCGCAAAGTGCCAAACAAGATTTACTTTTAGCCTAAAGGCATATATGTACCTATTAATCCGAGATCTATACATAACAAACTAAACAATCTAAACGGATGCTTTAAAAACTGTAATTTGAGGTAATAGCGACGTTTTTCATCTCTCTCGACCTTGACGTATGTATAATAATAATTAATAGCCAGTGCGGATTTTAATCGCTTGAAAATTCGACCTATTATAACGAATCCATGCATCGCAAGCATAAAAATAAACACACAATGCATCGTAGACACGTGAATGTCATCATGGAGGTGTTATTTTTACTTCGAAAGCGTCTGTTTCCTGGAGCTTATCGAGCATTAGTGTTAATCAGGTCTATTTAACACATCTGGGTGCCTGTCACTTGTGATAGTAGGCTATTTTTTATCTTCCAGAAACAGCTGCATTTGTAGAATTAAAATACCTGACTTGAATCCTCTCATCGTCGCTCAAGAAACTTTTTATTAGTTTAAATGCACTAATAATCTAATTTAACAAATACCTACATAAATAGTTTCTTCATTATTATTATCTGTGTATAGGTAGGTACTGTTTAATTGAAGATTCATTTAAGTCAATATAAAATTATTGTAATCTGTACTATGAAAGTAAGTGCATTTTGTACTTCACATATCTCGTTAGAGATGAAGTTGCAGTTAAAAATACTGACTTATGCAAAGTGAATATTTAGTCTAAAACGGTCTCATAGCTTGTAGTCTGTCCAGTGTTAAATGGCCTTCTGACAAGGAAATTATTATCGCGTTTGTCTTCATCAAATAATGTTTTTATTCTTGTTGAGATGCCACCATATTTAAGTTCTTCTCTTTTGCATGTCAACGTCTTAAATTACTGTTACATACATATCCATACGTAGCTAAGCAGAATATTTAAGATGCATTTTAGTCTGAAATATACAAAGCTTTAAAAAAATCATTTAATAATTTATATATAACTGAATTTAAACTATTTAATTTAAAGTTGGTATTTGGTTAAGGACTCCAATCTCTTAAGCCCAAAGCCCTCATTGAAGTGCTCTAGCTTTTGAAGTACCAATTCCATTTTAAAATCCAAGAAGTTCGTATTAGGAATTACCTATTTCGAAACCAATTAGATTTAAATGCCTAAGTGCCTTGAAAACCCTTTGAATTAAATTAGACCATTGCTTAGCATTCGGGAGGATTTCGGTTCGAATCCGGGTCCGTCTGGCTTGGTCCAAGCTTTTTTGTGGTTTCCTTGGATCACTTAGGAAAATGCTGGGGCAGTAATATTCCACAGATAATCTTTCATTCTCTTCTGTCTTCATTTCGTCCGTCTCAACTTTCTCACCCGAACCACCACCCACGATTCCTGAAAACAGGGTTGAAGAGGGCCTTCCGCCCTACCTTTCAGCGTAGTCCGGAGGGACTGCCCGCCCACCAACATTACTGGCTGGTGGGAATGAAACACCCAAAAGTTTTTTTTTCCCCCCAATAAAATTACAGCGCTTCTAAGCCCTGAAAGGACTGGAAGCACATTTTCAATCTCAAAGCACGAAAGCTCTGGGTGCATTTTATTAAATTTAGTACTTCTGAAGTCAAATAAACCGTTGGTCATTTTCTGATATTTGAATGGTTTGAAGTTTCTGTGAGCAGTTTTAAAAATCCTAAATAAGACGAAAACATCGGATGATTAAAAAATATCTTTTATTGCATATACTTATGTTTCTCGTTCGAGAAACGGAAACAACGCAACAATTTTTATGTTTCGTGTAAATAATTACTGTAATTTATAATTCATATGAAAATTAGGATTTCTAGAAAAACAACCTTGTGCATATTAGTAGTTTTGACCAGTAACAAATAAATTGTACTAAAAGCAGTAATGACTACCTCTTCTTAATTGGTAACAAGTTGGTTCAGTAGCCAAAAGCTCAGGCATTCGCCCAGAACGAAGTTCAAAAAAACTGAGTAGGTGGAACACATTAATGCAGGAACGATTAACATAAATTAAAGGTTTCAGATTATCGACTGCTTAAAGTAATAACTCCTTTGAGATATCAATTACAGAGACCGGCAAAATTACAACGCATACATTAATGTACAATACTGTAATGCGCTTATGAATTTTAAGGAGCAGTTTCGAGGAAGAACTATACGATACATGATACAATAACAATGACTTGTAAATAACAATAAGAGCGACCAATTTGAATTCTAACTAAAGAAACGATTAAGGGATTTGGTCTTTCAAGGAACTGTATGGATAAATTGATATTCATACACATTCTATTCCTAACATTACACGTCACCACGTAGGTACTGAATTTTAATGTACCTATGTACCCATACGATGACATGCTTGTATGATACTAGAAAATACTAACATTAGTCATATTTATGTAACATTAGGTTCAATATTGAAATAAAACTTTTACAACAGAGTCTAAAAACCTTTAACTACTGAATATTAATGTATCCAGATCCAGATTCGAATCATAAATTGCAATTATCGTCCGTTTCACCAATAAACTTTTTGTTCGTATACCTAAAAACTTTTTTTAATGTCATCTTTTCATGAGTTTTCATAACTATTGACACTATTTTTTTTTTTTTAAAGTCATGACAAACTCGCATGTCTGACAGAAAATTTCAGTTTAAATATATTACATAACGAAACCAGTCTACACACACTTGAGTAAATAATGTGTTTTCGTTATAAAAATCATATCAGTAGGCCTTATCGTTGGTTGTGAGGTATACATCGTATATCACTTTTTTTGTACAATATAGTTCCATCCAATTAACCCTTGTTTTTCTGAACGATGGACGTAGATGTTTCGTAGAAAAAAAAAACAGGGCAGGATCATAGCTCAAAAGTCGTGCCGAAGGACTCCAAACCGTCGAATTTATTGACCGTGTATAATCGGAAATATGCATCTAATATGACAAAGTGGTCAATAAATTTTTTGTTTTCACTATTAAATGTTTAAAAGTTATTCGGTTTTTATTCAGAATAAGGCTAAACCACTTAAATTGTCACTAAGGGTAAAATATTTTAGGAATACTTAAATATCTACAGTATACCCAAATGTATTAGGTAATACATTTTACGTTCTAATCCAGATTTTAAAAATAACCCCTCCATAAAGGTGTTTGTGTGATTAAATGTAAAAATTGTGATGACTTTTATGTTGGGCAATGCAGCAGAATCATAAAAACTAGCCTTAAAGAACATTTATACAGTACGAATGTCTCGTATCATTGCATTTTAACAACTACACAATGAATGAAGATTCAAAAATTTTATATATGAATAGTAAAAGATCTAAACAACATAATTTACTTGAAAACTTTAAAATACCTAGCGAAAGTTGTCTATTGAAAACAAAAACTTGAAGATGATTACAAATGATTTACAAGTTACTGCTGCACCACTAATTAAAGACTTAGAAATCCCAGATAACTATAAATGTAACAAATTAGCGTATTTGTTAGTACTTTTAATAAATCGAATTGTATTTTCAATTATGATTACATCCTGCAGGTATTGCCGATCTCTCTGTTTTTTTGATACTTACAATACTTAATTTTTTCGTACTTTTTCTAATACGAGAATCGTACTGAGAGTATCGCAATATTATACAGAGTGTTAACAAACCGAGAATTATCTAACTTAAATTGATATAAATCAACTTCATTGTAAATTAGGCAAGTTTGTTAGATAAGTACCTATCATTTCAATTTATCGTTTCTGCTACTGGGTATTAAGTATAAAAAAGGGCATTTATAATAATTTTTTGTCTGTTTAAACTTTCAAGTTCGGCCCTGTGTCGTATAAATTATAGTGTATGATTAATTTTTCTTTGCGCTGATGGTGTCCGTCAGATAACGTTTAGATTAAGGTGTTGGATACTGAACAAGCAGGCGTGTCATGGGTCTCAAAAACAAAAGGTGCCGGCTTATGTGGATCAGTGTGAGAAACGGCCCTTGTCTTATTGTATAAAGCTAAGAATGTCCGATGCACTGTACATTATCCTTACACGGAATACCTTTTTTTTTTAAGAAGTTGAACTGCCTGTCTCATGTACACAGGTACGTGTTGAAGATGCCAGGAATGATTACCGTTAAAAATTGAGAATTACGTCTTTTTATCGATCTTTTCTTAATTTGCATACCTACCCACCGTTGCTCTTAATAACGACCAATTAACAAAAGGCGAGGAAAAGAAAAATAATTCAAGGATATCAAAAGGAGATATATAAATCTGAACTAAATTTCCACAGAAATATTTAAACGTGATTATTTTGCCTTACCTGAGGTTCATCTTCATCATCACCATCACAATGTTTGCAGCCCAAAGACTGGACACAGTATATATTTTCTGTAGCGCTTATCACTTGCGTTTTGCACCCATACAGAGCTGTAGTACAAACATGTACCTTTTTAATAATCTGCCAAAATTTTAAATTAACCGGCCGCAAGTTCAAAAGTGATTTCATTTTGTTAAAAGCAGCAAAACTCTGAGCAATTTTTGTTATATTTCTAGCGTTTTTTTCATACTACATTATCTAACTCCCAAAAATATTTAAAATCGACGTTTTTTTCTTTCGTCTTTCGTCTCCTATATTTATATTAGGTCTAAGTAAAGTATACTTTTGCATCCCTTGATGACTGTCATATTTTTTCTTTTCTTAATTCCTTTCTACCATACCTATCTTGAGACATAGCACATACCTGCATTGATTATTTGTTTATACGCACATTTGCCTAATGAAAACTGTGATTTTATTGTTGAAGAGGCACTTGGTGAAAAGGTTGATGAACCTTGCAAGTATTGTACAGTAAATACTTGCAAATGTCAAGCCAGCTTACTTCCTATGCATGTACCACGCAACTGTTCAATGTCAGTTTAAATATATTCTTGGTATTCGTTTCGTTTCTTCCTCATCATAGTATGTCCATTCTTAACAGCATTATGCACTGACATCATTCTTGCAAGAATGTACGTTTGTTTTCCAAAATAAACTTACAAAGTTGAGGAGGCTAGTAAAATGTCAAACCGGGAAATGGGCAAAACGTGGAAAAGCACAATATTTAAATAATTTAATAGTAGGAATTTATCGAAGTACCTATTGCAGTTCTTTGGGTTTTAAAAGGATCAACAGTTCGGAAAAATACTGAAAATTCGTCATCAATTTAGATTAGACGGAAAATTAGAGGAAATTCAATCGATCAATTATAATGCTGTAATCGATTATGATAGTGGAACCATACGGATCATTTTTTTTTTACTTTATTAAAAAATATCAAACTTTTTTGGACTTTTTGAACGTCTTTTAAATTTCACTTTAGTTCGTCTACAATTGTGAAACTTATTTGTTAATAAAATTCTTATTACTCATTAAATAATTTTAATACAAACCTAATATTAATTATCATTTCAAGGTGAGTTAAATCGGTATAAAAATTATTAATTATTACATGAAAAAATTTACTCTTTCTTTTTTAATTTCATTTTCCTTACTTTCCCTAAACCTTAAATTTGTCTTTCCCGGCGCCTTCACCATAATATGATAACTTTAAAACTGCAACGGTTATACGTTATAAAGTCTAATAGATATTAATAACCATAAAAAAATAAAATTTACTATCACACTGCGAGCACTGACACTTTTTTAAATACTCATGTTTGATATGAATAAACACGTATATACTTCGTATGCTAAAACTAAAGTTGTCATTGTCTAAAAATGACAGAAAATATTTTGTTGATGTAAATAAATAAACGAAAACTATTTTACAATACCTTTTTTATAATATCCCTCAAGTATTTTGCGACCGCTACATTGCTTTAAATAGAAATGACCCATCCGCATCACCGAAGTGAAAACTCACCCCTCCTGTTGAATCCTAATGGAGAAGATATGAAAAACCCGAAACCGTCACGTCTTGCCGAAGCAATATTCTTAAAAACATCTCAATACAGCTATTCAACGATGGTTATTACGCGTTCTCGAAGTTTGCTTTGCTATATGGTTAAATTTTCGAGTATAATTCTTCTCTGCGTTGGTTTATTAATGTTTGCAGCTTTTATGTCCCAGCCTAAAATGAATCCTTTCAAGCCGAAGTGTAACAAGGACAAAATTACACAAAACACAAGCACATTATATATTCACGTTATTCAAAATAATGTCACGCTGTGTCCGCAACAGTTACAAGAAATAGAGGAAATTGCAATTAATTTTCCTGGAAAGACGATAGAATTATTTATTATAAATACGGACAAAGATTTAGAACAGGCCGACAACAAAAATTCTTCCGCTTTATGGGATAATAAACTAAAAAATGATCCAATAACATTTCAGTGTAGTACTGGAATATTTTTTAAAAATGTTAAGAAGAGTTCGAAACATTATTCTCAAAAAATCACCGGTGTAGGACGCAGTTGGTACCGTACAAATCAACAACAAAGATCGGTTGAGAATTTTCCTCGTAATATTAGTTTTCCTCGGTCGTTTACTAGTAATAATAGAGTGAGAAAGCCCAAAATCGAAACAATCAACCAGCTTCTAGATGCCTTTCCAAATATAAGGGTAAAAAGGAATTATTTTGGCGAATTATTTAATTCTACTCCGTTGGAAAAAACATGGAAAAAGTTAAATTTACCAACAGCGATGTTTGCTGCAAGAACAGTCAGATTATGGCAAAGGGGAGGTATTAGCTTTAGCTTATTAACCGAAGGTGATACGTCACACAAGTGCAAATATGAGCAGTTACATAATACTGGCAAGTTACCCGATATCGCAGATAATCTTGATACCAAACAACCGTTATTAAACTTGACAATCAAACCATTGTCAAATTTCTTTCGCGAAATCGCAATTATCTACAGGAATCTATCCAAAATCACCATGATCTCGGTTGAGAAGAAAGCCGACGATGAACCGCTCATAGGAAAATTTATCAGGTTTGGAAAATACAGCTTTGAAACTACAGGAAAGGATGTGGCAACCGTTGACAGTGAGGGGGTGTATATGACGGCCAAGCATCCCTGTCACGATTTTTTTGGCGATCTGATACTTAAACTCAAAAACTCGGATAAAACCGCAAAATATAAAGATGTTTTGAATGACAGTCTGACCAAATATTGTATAAAGAATTATATTTATACATAATGTGCAAATTTTCTTTTTTTACTAATATTATTCAACACTAAGACAAAAAATCCAAAAACCATTAAATGTGATATGAAATCAAAATAGTTTATACAAATAAAAACTAAATGATGTTTGTTGGTAACATGGACCAATTCGGTTAATTGTTTCTAAAAATTTTCGTAATAATCTGAGTTAGGAAAAGTTGTCCTGGAAATTGGAAAATTCGAGAAAAGCTCAAAATGTTTTCTATATGGGCTATAACTCAGGATTTGAACAATTATTTTCCAACAACTTTTCACAGATAATTTTGTTGAAATTTTGATAGGACAACTTGTGTTGATTGTAATAAAATGAATCAGTCAAGGGGATTGTTGTTTTCCAATAATTGAAACGTGTCCTTTTTGCATTTTTTTTTTTTTTAATATGCATTAACATGAAGTGGAAACATGTTGGATTATATTGATTCTTCGAAGATCCTTGATCCTTGAATCCTCCAAGAATTTTGAAGGAAAAGGTCCTGCTTGTTTCAAAGAAATTTTGCAATTCTGCTAAGCTTTTATTGATTTTATTACAGAGGATTCTATATTATTGTAATCGCGACATTCTAAATATTATTATTTGATTGTGTTTCTGGGTCTCAAAATAAATATGAATCGATTCACATTTTCCGACATTTTCCCACATTTTCCAATCCAATTCTACGTCATAAAAAGTTTAAAAATGGCGCGATTGCGTTAAGGAAGATTTCATTTTTTTAGTCCTTGATGTTATATTTTCCGTTGTTCAGATGGCGAAAGGACACAGATCCACTAGTTTTCCATTAAGCTCGATTCGAGATGGCAGCATAATCGTAACTGAGGTACCAACAAGCGTTCGAGCTTTACATTTCGTTCGCTTCTCGCATCGAGTGAGCACGTTCGCGGTGAAACGGTCTGTCAAAACCTTTGAATTTATAGTGTGTTTATTTAAACAATCCGTCCGCCAAAAATGCGCAATTTAATAAACGGTCTCTATTCGGACCAATAAAATTAAGTGCTTCTGCATGATCGCAACCGTAGTTCCTATTTAAAATAGAGTGTGTTAAAGAGTGCAGCAAAAATTGTTCTTGGATTAGCACACTGCGTCGAGGTGAGTTTGTTCGGTTTGCTCTGAAGTATATTTAGAGTTAGTTCTATAAAGACGCTATGAATTAAACGCCTTCTGAAATTTCTTAATTTTTGTAATTCTTTCGAAAAGTTCTCGTATGTGTTCTGTAGAAGATGGACGAGGCTTACGATTATACGGAACGGTAATGTAGCAAGTGAGTGTGGATTGTCGGCTTTCAGTTCTATAAATAAATGTCATTTTGTTGTAGTATTTTGGACGCGACTGCTTGCTCCTCTGCTTTCATCAAAGTTTTTCGTCGTTTTTGTTTTTGAGCGCGTTGCAAGAGCGCTCATTTTTAATGATGATACCGTCATGCGGAGATACGAACAATTTCCATCAGTTGCATCCTTTAAAGTGCACGTGTTGTTTGCACGCAGCTTTAGGGACGTCGGATATGCGCCTATAAAAAATTCAATTTGCATAACAAATCTGCATCAGCTAGTAATACATATATGCAATGTGTATGGGCATTCCAGTTCCAACAGGTTTTTTTTTCGTAATGCTGTTGATTGTCGTAGGTTGTTTAATTGCCTAACTTTGGCGCTCCCATATTTGGGCACCGGTGGGAAGATCGGCCATATAGACCATTGCAGAATTAAAATAGAATATTTCGACCCACTTCCCAGTTAGATTCAACTCCTTCCTTTGATCGTTTCAAGTTGGTTAATTGCAACAGCTAATTAAGCACTGAAAGAACAAGCGGAGTACTCATCGTCTCGTGCTCTGCATCGGTATCAGGATTCCTTGTATTCGTCGTTCGAAACGGGCCAGCGTTTTGTGAGAGTCGGGGTTTATTTACGTATCATTCAATGCCATTTATGCTGCCAAAAAATTTGTGCTAAAGGGCAATGTACGAATCGTTTGTTGGACGTGTATGTTTAGACAACAAAAGGAATGCCATGCAACGCTACTGTATTTCTAGCCGTCACCATTTGACTAACTACAATTCTTGCATAGGAATCCACATGCCTTATTACACTTCCTGCAAGTCACATATCATAGCGTTAGGTCTGACATTTAGATTACTTAACATTAGATTATCGTAATAACAATGACATTAATAACGAGACAAAAATTGTCCTTTATCTTTGATTGTAAGTTGATGCAGTGCATTATGCATTAAGTCGACATATTTTTTATTTTTACCCTGCCCATGTTTAGACTAATGTGAAAGTACATTTTACTAATCTATTATGCTTAACAAATCAAACCAACCGAAATAGTGATAAATCCTGAAGTCATCATCATCATAAGGTCGTCAGTCCTAAGACTGATTGGACACGCACCTCTACTCCTTCCTATCCTGAACTAATCTTGGCATTCTCCTAAAATTAGAATATCCCACATCTTTAACTATTTGCGAACAGTAATCTAACTAACTCCTGTTTCTGCCTCTAATATGTCTCTGACTAGACCTTCATGCCTGAGAAAGTGTCCTACCAACCTATCTTGCCTATTCCGTATTGCCTTCCATGCAGTGCTGCGATCTCCTATTCTTTCTAATGACTCTTCATTTCTAACCTTCTCTATTCACGATATCCTCATCATTTCAAAAGCTTCTAACTTTTTCTTCATACAGCACCGCGCTCCAAACATACACCTTTAAAATCCTGAAGTATTATCATAAACTACCTATTCTTAGCTCTTTAAGGAAATCCAAAAGCTGCTCGATGTGGAAATTATGAGCAAGAACTTTGTGATCTTACTAATAAGGGAAGGATAAATTATCCTTTTTCTTCGATATAATGGAAACTAAGCACAAAAGAAGTCTAATTACTTAAGACATTCATCGCTTAAGAATTATAGAAATTCATTTTTACCGACGATTTCTTGTTATTCTGTCTAATTTCCTTTTCAAATACTTCCACAAAAGCGAAGATATGCCTTAAGGATAGTTAGCTTCACTTGCTGTGTCAATGTTTCGAGTGTATACATAATCAGTTGTAAATGGATTTAGCATTTCAATACTTTCTAGAAAATACGAAAGAATGTTCTTGGGCATCGGATATTCGTTGGTGACTGTAAACAACAAAACTAAATGAAACTTTAATAAAAGAAAAACAACTTTTATTTCCTGTCCTTTGATGAATACAAATAGAAGTAACGTAATGTACTCGTGTTGGTCTACGTATGGTGTACATGAATTGTTTTAGAATTAGGATTTCCTTCACAATTTTGTTGGTACACAAAAAAATGCAGGAAAGATTAGAACTACTGCCACAACTTTTGTTCTTGATTAAAATTAAACTGAAATGATTTTAATTGCATGCACTAATTAAAAAAGCAATATTTTTTTTTGAAATTCTTATCTCGGAAGTGATAATCTATCATCGCTATTCTGTAATTTAATTCGTAGCTATGATTATCTGAAGCCTTTTTTGAAATAGTTTATGTTTCAGTGGTGCCAATGAAGACATAATATAAGATACCAAAATTGATTACAGAAGACTAACATAAAGTTACAAAACTAAGGGCAAAAGTAAATGAATCTGTAAATAATTCGTGGCGACTAGGAGCTCGCTTATAATATAAAAAGTGGTTTTTGTAACTAACGTTTTGAAGTCCTTCTTTCGGTGAATAATCTCGCAATCTGTAATGTACCTATTTAACCGTCCAGCTATTTGAAACTATTTATCCTTTAAAATCCTTTTAGTAATTTTCTTTATATTTTACCGGTCTCCGGTCCTTTTAAAGATCATTCCCTTAGGTACTAAAGTATTTCAACATGAAACTAGTTCCACTAAACCCAGAGAAGTCCTTCACTATTTTATTTCATCAAAGTTCTTTACCTTTAATCATCTAAATTGTATAAAGCCTTGGATTGAAAAATAAACATGTATTGCATATCTATCAAATTTTACAACTTTATACTTAAATATGTATTATTTTGATTAAATAAAATAATAATAATGTTTCATAAATTTCATGAAGTTTTATTGAATTTCTTGTCATATTTATGCCAGAGTATCACATCCAATGCAGCAATTATTATGTATAATAAAAGAAGTGATATTTATTCCGTTAAGAATAATAAATAAAATACATATTGCATTTGTTTACTTAAGTATCTTCGATAAATATTGAGAGTGAGAACCTTGACACCAAAAAGTATACTATTACAAAACTTGAACGTTTTCAAGTGGAAGATATCAGAATTGATGACCGAGAAATTCCTTAATGGGGAAGTAGAAAAAGTTAAGTATCCTGACCAAAAATTAGTGCGTGTGTGTAAATGCCATAAATGTTCTCAATCATACTTTTGTTGCCGATAAAATGTATGTACATTGCGATTGGTGGAAGCAAAGAACTAGATTAAAGGAACAAAGGAAAGCGCAGTGATTTTAAAGGTTGAGCTTTCTCAACTATTAAGTTTTTATTCATGGGAAACGGGTATATTATTAAACACCGGAAACGAATAGCCGTCCGCTTTGACGACAATAGTATACGTATAATAAGAATTGGTCCAAATTGCATTTGAGATTAAGATTATGGAGGATTATATGTATAGGAGCGATAAACGTCAATGCCACTACAGAATGGTAATGATGGAGGAATATTTGGAGGCAGGAGACAGATCACATTGTGACACTGAACTTTGAACGAGATATTAAGGAATATTTTATAATGTTAATAGTAAACAGAAGCATTAAAATACTACGTGAAGTAGGTGGTTTAATAAGGGGTTAGCAATTTAAGCACGTAAAGAAAATTTGACAAACAAGCAAGTGTAGATATAGATAAACTTCTCTTAAGTTGAAACTTCTGACAATCTTCGACCAAGTGCTTGACTGTTTCAAATTTACTGATCGGAATGACAAACTGATCCATTAAAAGAAAATTATGTCGATCTTCTCTTGTTCATTGAGATTTGCTTTACGCCAAAAATACTAAGAAGACTATTTGATAGTTGGCTAATATAAATGGATTTCAAGGATTTTAGTCGTTCCGGGGATAGTGTTCGGATGGGGGTTAGTCTTGTAAGGGCAATATTCTGCTGCTAACTATTAGTAGTGCAGAATAAAGCGGAAAAACAAAAATTAATTAGCATTGGTATTTGTGATTGAGAATAAGAACGCATAGACGTTTAATTTGCTTTTGAATTTTGTATTGTACTTACATCTGCCGTATGCTTTAATTTACAATATGGACCATGTACATCGAACCCGATTGTTTGAAACTTTCTTAATCTAAATTGGAAGACTTGTAAAACTCTCTGTAAACTATCTATGTAAACTATCTATCTTACAAGATGGAAAATTATCTTTGAACTATGTGAGTTTTCTTTGCATTATGTGAGCTGTCTTGGAAACGAAAAACTACAACTTAAGTTAACTTGAATATGTAAATAAAAGGAGTGGAATGTAGGAGTCCCTTCCTAAATATTATGAATTACAAGCTTCATTGGTCATTACAAATGGGGGTGGCTCTGGTAGACACAACAGTCTAAGATTTCACCATCTGACCCATTTCCGAGTGAAAGTTTAAACATTTATGGGACAATAAAATTAAACGCTTTGAGTCCTCGATGGACCTGCACATCACAATACATAACTTTATGACAGGCTTCTTGCAGTCAACTCTCACCAATTTGTGTACACATTTAGTCTTGAGGTGCCATCCACAATACTATTTTTAAGCATAGGCATAAAAGAAACCCTTCTCGAAATTGAAACATAAGATTTTGATTCTGAAAGAAACTATTATTTGAAAAAAAAAACAGACATTAAAAGAAACTGAATTTTGAGTGAAACGAGTTGATGAATAGGAGTCGAACAGGTAGTGAACGTTAAATCTTCCAAATCAAAGAAAATCCATTGGGTTTTCAATTCCAACCATTTATGTATTAATGCTGAAGGAAACAAGGATCGGGTGGTTCCTGTGATCTATAGTATAGCGCAAAGCAGAAGGAAGGTCATCTTTAGCGTCCTTTTAGAAATCCTGGGAATGAGTGAGTGGTGGTTGGGTTGGAGAGTGACAAGTTC